TATGCACACATACTTAAATAAGCCCTCAACTACCACACATAGGAGCTTTGAGTTTCTCAGCCAGGTCGAATTCAGACGCTGTCTAGATGAGAATTCTAGTGCCGGGCTACCTTGAAACCTCGTTTTCTGTGGTTTCTCCGATCAGCACCAGGCGAATGCCGGAACTGGAGAACATCACGACTTTCTGCAAATAAAACGTGCACTTCATTTACGGGACTATTGAACTAGCAGTTGACGTTCGCGGCATCAGTAATCAATCAATCAATCAAATCTGATGAGGGACGCACCCGAAAGGCAAACAAGTAGCGAGAAATTACACAAGACCTCTTGTCAGTCGGCGTCAGAACACATGTTCCAGCGGAACAAACTTGTAGCATTTTGTGATATTAGATTAGCAACTCTCACGGGACTCGTATGCATGACGCGCCCGAAATACTTTCTCACTTCACAGGTGAATAACGACATCATGACAAGGTCGAGTAACGAATTGTCGGTGGATGCAATGGGTTGATCATGCGCGCGACGGCTATGGCAGGGCATTCTCAACGCACAAATATGTCACGTACTCTGTCACGTAAAATGTCAAGTTGCCTTGAGCTTCAAAGTCAACGAATAGGAAGAATCGAGATTCAAATGATGAGGATGAGATGATTCAGTGAAATAACTGTTGCTTCTGCAACTTGTCTGGCAGGCAGGTCCTTTGATTCGACTGGTAACGGTGGAGAATTTTGGACAACCTGCTACATAGCTAGGTGGAATTTACACGCTGCCTAGAGGAGAATTCTAGCGGCAGCCTCCTCTGATTGGTAGATATCCGAGGTTTCTCCCTGCGATGCTAGAGCAGTATCCTGACAAACGGGCAACGGACTGCGGGGCTCGTCCCTGCGACTGCCTTTCCCCTTACACACACACACACACACACACACACACACACACACACACACACACACACACACACACACACTTACACTTTTACGCACACACTCAACACTATCATATGTCGGGAACCCAGTCCGGAGCTTATGGCTTGAAGCGGCTATGGCAGTGCCCCTTTGGAACACATCCCTGCAGGGGAAATCCTCCGCAGACTGTTGTGTAGATCGTCGCAGGATCTCTCGTTCCATCGGAGGAGGAACACTTCACCTCCAGATTACAACACGCACTACACTCACGGGACAAAGAGAGGTGGCTCAGGGCATCAGCTGATATCACTGCAGAACCTCTAATCGGGAGATCCTGGGGTTCTAGTCCCTACGGCGGCAGGATTTTCGACACTAGCCAGATAGCTAGGTCGCTGTCTGGAGGTAAATTCTAGCGGCCAGCTACTTCGACCGGTTGTTCTACATAGTTTCTCCGATCAACACCAGGAAAATGCCAGAGCATAACCCTGTCAGATTGGCCACGGATCACGTGCGATCTTTCCTTCCCATCCCTTGCCCTAACCTCACCTAGTACATTTTCATGTACTTCACTACCACACATGATTGAAGACCGGTAGTGGGGTTAGAGCTTGGCCGACTTGATGGTGTCCTACTGGTTGCAGATATCTGGGTGGGGAACACCCCACTAGCCGACGGTAGGTCGGCGACTAATTTAGCCATCCAGCGGGCCAAGATCGCCACTACCATCGTAGCTGCCTCCTCCTCCTGCTGCTGAAGAATGCAAAACCATACAGTACACTTACGGGACTAATGAACATAGACGTTGAAGCGCCCGGAATCTCTAGTAATAGAGCAATCGATCAATAATGAACATTCATGGGACTAATGATCAATGTAGTTCACTCATCCGGAAATGTGAAACACAAGTAGTCACTCACTTGAGTCATGGTAATCAAGGGCTTGCTGGTGGTAGCAGGGTGCCTCTCCCTACAGTGGCATGACGCCAGCTCACTTGCGCAATTAGTGGCGTGATAGGAAACTATCAGTATTATGCATTCTTACGTTTCGTATAGCGACGGCACTCTGGAGGACTATGTTTATCAAAGGATATGGAATATGTTGATCCCCGATAACAGTTGGGGAAAAGTAAAAAAATGTAAAAATGTTAAGAAACATAACAACGAAGGTACTATACTTGATTTTTCTAACCTCCGCGTGACCGTTTCTAACATGTAAATTACTGTTTTTCGTTTAATTTTCCTCTCTTTTTGAGATGGCGTGTAAGAAATGTGTCTTTGTGAGATGGCGTGTAAGAGATGTGTCTTTGTGAGATGGCGTGTAAGAGATGTCTTTGTGAGACGTTTCTTTGTGCTACTAGGCGTCTCTGATGAAACTCCTTGACTTGCTGTACTACGTGCATGTTCATTCAGATTCCCTTCACCTATTGAACAAAAGCTGAGATGGTTCGTTACTCTCTTCCTTGAGAACAGACACACCTAGTAAATAAAGATAAATAAGTATTATAAAAGTACTCGACAGGCTGCTGTAATTTTACGGTATTGCAAAAAATGTCTGACACAAGAATATATCAGTAACTTCTTGTGTATTGCGTAATGTAGGGCGAAACAAAGTTATTGACAGTGAAGTATCTCCGATACCCGGACGACACAAATGTGTGTGTTCGGGATCAATGTCAGAACCCAGAAGAAATAGTAATATAATTGAAAAAATATATATTTAAGAACTAATCTTCAAGTATGTTAGTACATATTGCAATCCTTCTCTGCAAATTTGCGTTAAAATTCTTTATTTTTTGAGATAGGGTAAGCTTGAATTTTCTGTTCTTGCGGTCCTTTCTGTGGTGGCCTAGATGTCCATGGTCTTTTATGGCAGAAATAGTTACAATTCGCAATTTTAAATCGATTGAACAATTTTAATCTCTATAGATAGTAAAATAAAATTGAAACGTGTTTTTGGGTAGTTCTATTGCTTTGGTCTTCAAAAACTTTTGTTATGTAACAAGAACAAAACACACTGTTTCTGGAAGATAATTTGCCTCTGAATTCAGATATAACTTAAGAATTTCTGTAACGGTATCAGTTTTCATGTGATAATTGTTGTGATTTCATTTTGTTAATGCGAATATTTCCTTATGTAATATGCATCTGGCAAAAAGACACGTTCTAATAACAACATATTCACATGTATACAGTAAGAAATACAACAACATACACGTTCAGAAAAGTGAATAGGAGGCTTGAAATGTTGGGTCAGTATGAATATCTCCTCCTCTGTCTTCTGTATATTCCTTACTGTAACTTTGATCTTCGTTCACTGTCATGTTCTCATAAGGAAATGGTACCGACAATTCTCGAGTCATAAAGGTCTTACAGCAGTTGGTAAATTAGGACATGCATAGTTTTCTTCGTTTTGGAGATGATTCCAGCTGTCAGCCAGAAATAAGTCTGTTGTGTGATCCGTTGATTCCCTCCAAATCGTTTTGAAGTATTTCCATAAACAGGGAGTGCCATGTAACAAGAAAATTGAGCCCGATAGGCAAAAATTGATTTCATATTCGAATTCAGTACCCAAATCGTTGCTAAAAACACCATTCACATTATGTGTTACAAAAATGCTGTTGATGAGTGTCATTTTTGAGAAAATACCACAGCAACATTTGCATAAGTTCAAAACGAATGAAATCAATTTTTATGAAGATTATGTTAGTAGTTCTCTTTATCGTTGAAATAGTTGTTAGTTCCATCGTTATAAAAGTTCCTCGTTATCCAAAAGACTCTTTTTTAAATAAAAGAGGGTAGTTTTTGCGTAATTTGGCCTTTAATTTAATGCAATTATTTAACAAAAAAACTATTTTTAAAAGACCGCTCCAAATTTTTTCTCCAAATTTTTTTCATGGGTACCCCTCTCATGGGTACGTTTTTTCTCCAGGGACGCCTAGAAGAATAGACACGTAACTTTTTCTTTCAACTCTCTGAATTTTCGAAAATTGCAAATTCAGAACTAATGTGAGCAAGAATGTGTTGTAGAGCAACTAGTTTCAAAACGACTCTCTGTATGACCGTCTGTAAATAGCAATAGCCTCTAAACTATACAAGATTTTCGCTAAAATTTATACTCCCGATCAATCTGGTTTGAGAAAAATTAACAAAAAACTGTAAACAAGATTTTCTCAAAGGAGACTCATTTCTTTTTAAATTTCTTGCTTGGATAGTTTTCCCCTAACAATATAGCATATATTTCATTTTCATTGAAAACTTCTCAATTGCGAAAATGCCAAAAGTCCATTTTTAGAACGTGTTCTAGACCTTTAATATAGAAGCCAAGAATTTCATTGATAATGCAATCTATTCCACAGTTATAGATATTTCTTTGACTGCACGTACACGTATTGCAAATCATTAGTAGCGTTTTAGTAATTTTTAGTTATATTGTGCCTAAATTGAACTTTTTGCAAAAGAGATCTTTAATATTGAAGCTAGATATATCTTTCTTAACATGGTGTATTCCATGTTATTTCATCTTTAAAATTACTTAAGTACATTTTTTGAAGATATTGGTAGTATTTGCGTAATTTTAAGTGATTTCGGAGCTTTACAAGCGATAGTTGTAGTATTACAAAGTAAGTGGGAAGGTGCAATAGTATAACAATAGAAACCCGTTACCAATTTTACGAAAAAGTATGTCTTTTTGTAGAATAAATAGTTTTTATAAAACAAGATAAACAAATTTTATGTGTGATTAAACAACTTCAAACGGTGCTTCTGAGACCTTCCCTTCAATTGTTTGTATACAAAAAGTTTGATAGTGTCTCCATTTTTTGTATAATTAGTTTCTATAATTAGTGTTGAGAAAATTTAAATATTAACTTAATGATATGAACGAAATGGAGAGGAAATTTGAACTAGAATATATCTTATAAGGAATATGATTTGTTATTTATTGTTTTTCAATGTGACAGAAATCTCATCAATTATATAAGAAAGTATTTCTCTCTAACATTGTCTGTGATATTAATTGCATAATGAAATTTAATGTCTCGTCTCATATAACTTTTATACGTTATACACAACATTCTTTGTAACATCATACCTGAAAGACATGTATGAAGCGGGAAGGTCTCAGGCAGTATTGAGGGTAGGCTATGCTAGATCAAGGTCTAAATTTGGGTAAAAAAAATATTAAAGTTATATTATTTGTATTTTTAATGTGTCGTTTTGAAGATGGAGAACGTTGCTGTTGCACGGAATGCTAATATACAATTTTCTTCTAGGGACCTTTGGTGTCAGATGCTGCATCAGAAGAGATTTATGTCATCCAAAACAATGGTCAGTCAGATTTGACAGCTGCACAATTGAAAGTTGCCTTATCCGAAGTACTGCAGAATTTTCTCGATGCACTGAAGCCAATCATTAAGAAATTTCTCCTTGGAATGATGTACTCAGAAATGGTAAGTTTATATTATAAGGAGTTAATATCACATCTAAATTAAAAACAAACGAAGAAACAACTGTCTTGAGTGAGACAAAGAAACCAAAACAGGATAGCGCGTCTGGAATAGAGGTCATCTGGTCAAGAATAGAATTAGCTTTTATTCAGTGATATTATAGTTTTTAAATAAGGTTCTAGATTAAAAGATCTAATAATGATGAATGAGTAGTCATATTTTAAATGATCGAGGTTCTTTGAAACCGTATCCAGTGTTCTAACGACTAATTTTTCGAACAGCATGTAACAAACGTTTTAAGAGTACGTACATTCATTATTGCAAATGAAGACTTCAGTTTTAGTACATTGTAAAATAAATAAAATAAGTAACGTAATCACAATTAGAATTGTGAATATTAAATAAAGAAATTAACGATGTATTTTCTTTCCTTTTTTCAGGCAGCTTCCCTGTAATATTGTCGCCAGCAACATGATTAAAAATCATTGAAATATTAAGTGTGTTTTAAATATTTTTGTTCGATGGAAATTCTCGATATATTTCCATGTCACATTTCCATATCCGGACACGTCCAAAACGGTGTTATGGTATTATGGGCAATGCTGAGCGATTTTTTTAAATATTTTTGTAGCCTTGCAAATATTGTTAAGTATTTCTGTTCATGTGAATAAAATTCATAACGTGTGTACATGTTTTTGGTACCTTAATTTTTTATCATTGCTCATTGGAATAAGAGGTGAAAGCAATCGCAAGTTTGTGATTAATCACCAAACATTGCGTAAGGATGGGTTAATGTTTATTTACGCACACCCATGCGTTGCGTAACATCTTCTAATCAGAGAAGGAAACTTCCCCTCTCCGATTAGACAAATTTTGTAAATACCGTAAAGAAAGAAGGAAGTATCCGGACACGTCAAAAATGGTGTTATGGTGTGGTCGTGTTTTCCATGAAAGAGGCTTGCACCCCTTGTTGTTTTGTATGGAACTATCACGACACAGGCCTATGTTGATGTATCTCTTTGCTTCCCACTGTTGAAGAGTAATTCGGGGATGGCGATTCCATCTTTCAACATAATCGAACATCGTTACTGGAGTTGTTACACGACAATAACATCCCTGTAATGAACTGGCCTGCACAGAGTCCTGACTTGAACCCTATCGAACACCTTTAGGATGTTTTGGAACGCAGACTTTGCGCCAGGCCTTACCGACCTACATCGATACCTCTCCTCAGTGTAGCACTCCGTGAAGAATGGGCTGCCATTCTGCAAGAAACCTTCCAGCACCTGATTGAAAGTACGCCTGCGAGAGTGGAAGCTCAGTCATCAAGGCTAAGGGTTGGCCAACGTTCTATTGAATTGCAGCATTACCGATGGAGGGCGCCAGAAACTGGTAAGTCTTTTTCAGCCACGTGTCCGGATACTTTTGATCACCGAGTTCTTTTCTATGAACACATTTTAAAGTAGTAAACTCAGCCTTTAAAAGAGAACTGAGAATAGATTTTAGTGAGTGGCTTAGAAAAATACAATATTTTAGAACAATCGCAATTACAAAATATATGTGATCAAGATAGAAGAAATCTATTTACGTTCATGTCTCTAATAGATTTTTTTGAACGGCATGCTACTCCTAAACATTAATCATATTTTAAAAATGCTAAACAAAATTAAGAAAAAATCTGGAAAATGTAATAATAATTGCTTTAAAACAGAATTGACGTGATTCCATATTTTCTCAAATTATAAATTTTTTTCGTAACGAAACTACTAAAGTCCTACAGTGGTTTTCACCAAGAATAATAGATTTACGTCATAATTCCAGCTGCAAATTTTGAAATAAACATTGCTATAAACCCTTAAACATTTCTCTATTAAGAATGCCGAATTTGTGCTATAATAGGAATGACCATCACCGCAATCAGTGATTTATTTGTAGATTTATACAAACCACTGATAGCCTGAGATATCAACTGATACTCGTACTCTGCGCCATCCGCTTAGGTGGCTCAGGATATCTGTTGATATCTCTTCAGTGCCTCTAATCGGGCGGTGCTAGGGGACGAGTCCCGACGGTGGGAGAGCTTTTGACACTAGCTACAAAGCTATAGACGAATTCAGCCGCTGTCTGGAGGAGAATTCAAGCGGCTGACGCATTCGTCGGTATTTTTTCGTGGTTTCTCCTATCAACACAGAGTGAATGCCGGAACAGTACTCAACAAACGAGGTAACGGACCGCCTGTGAACTTTCTTTCCTCTTCCTAAACCTATCTTCGCCTTTTACTTAGACATACACTTACATGCCCTACACTATCACACATGTCGAGAGACCAACCGGGAGCTTAGAGCTTGTCTCGCTTGGGGCGGTGCCTCGTTGTTGGGAGATACCTGGTTGGGGAAACACCGCAGTTCGACGTGTAGGTCTGCGCTGAATCTCGCCATTCAACGAGACGATTGAATTGAATTGAATTGGCCTTATTTTACGTGGCGAGACTCGGGCCATCAGGGCCGCTCTTCCGTCTGACCACGCAAATTTCGCCACGCTCCTTTCACCAACTAGCAGAGAAAGGAGGTATTTCTTGGGCGAGAAACAGGAGATTTTGAATTTAGCTCAGAGGCGTCATGTAGGCTTGAGAATATTTTACATGCAAGTAAATCTATGAACATGGGACAGACGGCTTTACTACCCCTCCGAAGGAAGGCGTACGAAGGATTTTGTCGCCCTAAAGATCCACGGCTTCCGTCGGGTTTGAACCTGCGAGCTTGGGTATAACAGTCCAGTACACAATCCCATCGACGATCACTGCCACCTTCCACGATAAGATCATGCACGAAATGTACAGGAGTATGACGCGCCCGGAATCACTACTCAATCAGTTTGTAGATTTTGCGGCGTTCCTTACGCATAACTGCACCCTTCATTACATATGATTGAACTAATAATAATGCTCTCACTGGACTCGTGCAAAAATTCCGCTACTTCATAAATAACTGGTAGCTTTCCGCAGAAAAATGCTGCTGGGGAAACTCCGTAAGTTATTTTTCAAAAAGTAGTGGGAGCGAGCGCGCGCGCGCGCACACACACACACGCACACACATGCACACACACACACACACGCACACACACACACGCACACACATGCACACACACACATGCACACACACACACATGCACACACACACACATGCACACACACAC